CCAAAATGAGCGGTGGCCATCATGTCAGGGATCACAACGTACTCGTTCACCGTGTGCATCTCGTTGGTCGCCATACCCACAACCACACACTCGACGCCGTTGAGCCGCATGGCGTTGGCGTCGGTTCCGCCACCCGAGGGATGAATGTTGGGGTTCATAGACATGTTTCTCAGCTGGCCGGTAACCAGCTGAACAATGGCCTCGTTGGGGTCTAGAAGGTACATCTGGAACATCATTTCCAGCTCTTCATTGATGGTGGCGTCACGGTACTTCTCCCGTGCCCTGCGCAGCGTCTCCCCCACTTGCATCCGCAACAAGTCAATGGTCTCGGTATTGTGGCTGCGGAACTCGCCACCGAAACTGGCCTCGACAGGCACAGCATTCCGCACCGTTCCGCCTGTAATCAGTCCGACGTTGAACGTCGTCTCCTCATCGAGGCGTCCGTTGGGGAGCTCGTTGATGATTTCGGAGGCTATGCGAATGGCCGACAGGCCCTTTTCCGGCTCCACGCCCGCATGGGCGCCCCGACCGGTAACGTTCACGTCGAAACGCATGTACGTGGGGCTGGCTCCGGTAATGGTGTTTACCGGCCCGTTGCCGTCGAAAACCACCGCGTCGCGGCAGCGGATCATCGAGTAGTCCAGGTTGGCCGCTCCGACCAGGCCGATTTCCTCGCCGCGGGTCATTACCACTTGCACGGGGCGACGCAGGCCGCCGTCCTGGGCAATGCTCTCCAGTCCTTCCAGGATCGCGGCGACGCCGGCCTTGCAGTCGCCGCCAAGAATCGTGGTGCCGTCGGACACGACGCGGTCGCCCTGCACCTCCGGCTTGATCCCTCGCCCCGGCTCCACCGTGTCCATGTGGGCCGAAAGCATCAGAGGGTCAGCACCCTCTTCCGAGGCAATCAAATTGCCGTGGGCGTCGCGTTCCACGGTGAACCCCAGGTTTTCCAGTCGCCCGGTGAGATGCTGGGCCACAGCCTCCTCTTCGTCCGACGGGCTATCGATCTTGACCAACTCACAAAAGGAATTGACCAAGCGTTCCTGATCAATCATTTAACGACCTCCGGCAGGATCCAAAACGGGGCAGGGCTGACCCGCCCCTGCGTTGGCGGGTATTATACATTACCCTGAGGGTGACCCTTTCGCCGATCTGTGATGCTGCGAATTGCGGGTTGAGAGACTCACAGAGGCACATGACCCACGAATCCAATCAAGACCGCGTCTGCACCGGTATGAAAAGATGAAACGGCGTGTGGAACAACGGGTGGAAAACGGGTGGAAAAAACAGCAGAGACCCTGAGTGAGATTACCAGCGACATCGTCTCATGCCGTCGTTGTCCTCGTCTGGTGGGGCATCGCGAGCACATCGGCGAAACGAAGCGCGCATCCTATTCCAATTGGGAATATTGGGCCAAGCCCGTTCCCAGCTTCGGTGACCCGGCTGCGCCTCTGATGGTGCTGGGGCTTGCCCCGGCGGCCCACGGGGGCAACCGGACCGGGCGGGTCTTTACAGGAGACGCCTCGGCCACATTCTTGATCAAGGCAATGTACGAGGCCGGCCTGGCCAACCAGCCGATCTCGGAACACAGGGACGACGGGCTGGAATACACGGGAGCGTACGTCTGCGCCGCAGTGCGCTGTGTGCCCCCGCAGGATCGTCCCACGCCGGAGGAGCAGCGGACCTGCCTCCCTTACCTGGCGCGGGAAATGCGATCGCTGCCCAACCTACGAGTGGTGCTGGCCCTGGGCCAGATTGCTTTCCAGGCAGCCCTGAAGGCCATGGCGGAACTGGGGGCCAAACGCCCGAGGGCAAAGTTCGGGCACGGCGCTGTATATCACCTGGAGGAGGGGTTGCCGCTGCTGGTGGGTTGCTACCATCCCAGTCCACGCAACACTAACACCGGGCGACTCAAGATGGAGCAATTGGTGGAAACGCTGAAAATGGCAAAGAGCCTGGGGGAGGAAGGAGTGGTGATGGGGGGAACTGGTAGGGCGTAGGGGATTTGAACCCCTGATCTCCGCCTTGAGAGGGCGGTGTCCTGGGCCGCTAGACGAACGCCCCACCAAAACAGTGGCAGAGTCCCTGGCCCGCTAGGACTCCACGTCTCAACTATAGCAAAGCGGCCAATCTCTGTAAAGGTATGATATCCGTCTGCTGGGCGATCGCGCATTAGGTGAGTCGGCCGGTTATGTCCGCTCTTTACTCTCTCCATTGGCCAAGGGTCGAGATGTATCCGATCGGAAAATTTCCTGGACTTTGCGGACGCTGGATTCTCGAACAAAAGGGAGTCAAGAATCACTGACAGGTCCCCAACCTCCCCAACCCAACCTTTCACTACTAACACCGGGCGGATTGGCAGAGCCAGCCCGTCCCACCAAATCATTCTGCCCCTAATTTAGGAGAGGCTCATGGAGATCGGAAAGTTTCCACCTGAATTGCTCGAACGCTTGCTGGGTTCCATTGGGCGAAATGACCCTCGGGTGGTGCTGGGCCCACGAGTAGGGGAAGATGCAGCGGCACTGGACTTCGGAGACCGGTTGTTGGTGGCCAAGTCCGACCCTGTAACCTTCGCTACCGATCGCGCTGGGTGGTATTCCGTCCAGGTCTGCGCCAACGATGTGGCCTGCACCGGCGCCACTCCCCTCTGGTTCCTGGCCACCATCCTGGCGCCGGAATGGTTCACCGAGGAGGATGCCTCGCACCTGTTCGAGGATGTCCTGAGCGCCTGCAACGAGCTGAATGTAACCCTCATTGGCGGCCACAGCGAGGTGACCCAAGGCATTCAGAGGCCAATAGTCATGGGTACTATGCTCGGCGAGGTTGAACGGGAAAACCTGATCACCACCGGTGGCGCCCAGGAGGGGGACAGCATCGTGGTGTCCAAGGGGTTGGCCATCGAGGGCACGGCGATCCTTGCCCGGGACTGTGCAGATTACTTGGCGGAGGCCGGAGTATCAACCAGTGTAATTGACGGCTGTGCAGCGCTACTACATTCGCCAGGCATCAGCGTGCTGCCGGAGGCCCGCATCGCCAGTACACAAAACGCAGTACACGCAATGCACGACGTTACCGAGGGAGGGCTGATTACCGCGTTACACGAAATAGCGCAGGCATCGGGACTGGGGATTGCTATTGAGGAGGATAGTGTACCCGTGCTACCAGGGACCACCGAGACGTGTACCGCTCTGGGGCTGGACCCCCTGGGGCTGCTTGGGTCGGGGGCGCTGATTATCACGCTACCCCCACCCGGTACTCCTCAGCTTTTGCGCACCCTGGAGCTGGCAGGTATCGATGCATGGGAGATTGGTCAGATGCTGCCGCCGGAGGAGGGCAGGATCCTGTTCTCCCGGACTGGAGAGGAAATTACACTTCCGGTATTCCAGCGCGACGAGCTCGCCCGCTTCTTTGCACAAACATGACTGACCTACAACCGGGCATCTCCCTTATGCAGGTAACGCCACCAGATTTGCATTATGTTACACAGAGACTGGTTTATGTTGTGTACTGCTTTACGTTTTATTGCATTCCAATGTTGCGGCGTCAGACGATAATGCAACTGGTTACTTGGAGGATGCTTGGTACACCGCCAGCGCCTCTGCCAGTCTGCTGGCAGTGATGTTGGCACCGCTGACCGTAATCGACACCTTTTTGCCCTTCAGCCGGTCGGCGTGCTTCACAGCACCGGCAAGGGCTGTCGCTCCCGCCGGCTCTGCCAGCGTGTGGGCCTTCTCCACCAACAGGCCAATGGCTCGTCGTATGTCATCATCGCTCACCAGAAGGAAGTCATCCAACAGGTCCGCCATAATGCGCTGAGGAAGCTCGTAACCCGATTTGGTCGCGACTCCTTCCGCAAAAGTCTCCATTAGCGCCTCGACAATTTCCCCCTGCTTCCATGATAAATACGCGGCGGGGGCGGCATCGGACTGAACGGCGTAGACCTGTATCGACGGATCGATGGACTTGGCGACGATACAGGCACCAGCAATACCGGATCCCCCGCCAAGCGGGAGCATCATCACTTCGACATCCGGCAGATCCTCTATGATTTCAAGGCTTGCCGTCCCAACGCCCGCAATCAGCAGAGGTTCGTTGACTGCGTGTACATAGCGATAACCCTCTTCACGGGCCAGGCGTTCGCAATAGTCCCTGGCATCGTCGAAGGTCTCTCCGTGGAAAATCAGTTCCGCACCCAGAGAGCGCATTCCCGCAACCTTCACCGGGTTGGCATTCTCCGGCAGACCGATGAGTACCCGCACGCCAAACTCTCGGCCGGCACTGGCCAATGACTGGCCGTGGTTGCCCGTCGAGGCGGTGATCAGACCCCGCTGACGCTCCTCCGAGGTTATGTTTGCCAGCAGGTTGATGCCTCCGCGAGATTTGAATGCTCCGAGGGGAAGGTGCTCCTCGTGCTTTATGTACACTTCGGCATTTAGCACCTCACTGAGTCCCATAGAATAGTGCAAGGGCGTGCGTTGAAAATGTGGCGAGATGGTCCGCCTTGCTTGGTACACATCCCGAATCGTGGGTGTCAGCATGGCTATCCTTTACTGGTAATGGGGCTTTCGTGAGCTTATGGTGGCCCCCGCAGTATGTCAATTGCCGTTTCGGTTTCAGACTCTCATTGCAGGCTTCCGCGATCTGCTGAAGGGGGCGGCAACAGGCTCGAAAGACAGGGGGAAGGACCCCGGATCGTAAATCATGCCGGGCTCTTCCGGGCAATTCAACTGACGGCATACCTGACGACAGGGTGGGCAATAGGCACTACAATGACAAAGGTATCTCTAAATGTTTCTTAAATGCGTTTAGGAAATTGTTTGGCGTATGCTTGACACTCCACCAAGGTCGTGATACCTTATCAACACTTCAAGACGCTGAGACAGTGCAAGTGACAGTAGGAGGCGCATCGTGGCACGAAAGACCAAGTTGATGCTACGTGTAGAAAAGGATAATGGTCGGCCTCTCGAGGAATTGCTACCTGAGAGAGTCAACGACATAGGCCTTTCTGCTACTGCCGAGGAGTTGGGCGTCAGCAAAGCCACCTTGGGTTTACTGGCTCTTGAAGCTCGGTATTAGTGTAAGGCGGATCGCGGTCTCTCGCGATGAGGTCGTGGAGATCAGGAAGATTAGCTAGCACGGAAACTGGTTTGAGACTCAAAAAGCCGCCCACAATGGGCGGCTTTTTCTTTACTCTTCTACCCTGCCGCAGACCTTCACCACTGGCGGATCAGCCCTGGAAAATGTCCTCAGGCAGAAAAGCGGAGACCGTTACATTTGGCAGGTCCACTGCGTTGCTGATCCTCAGGTCTACCGCAACGCTGCAAATCACGTAGGCCTGCTCACGGGTCCAGCCCCTCTCCTGCAGCAGCTCAATCATGTTGATCAGGGCATTGCGGGCCGCCAGTGTAAGATCCTCCCCCTCCTGGGTACCGTCGTCCCGAATAGGCATGCCCATCGTGGCGATGAAATTGCGGGGGGCGGCCCACTCCGGTGGCAGGAAATACCCGGGGTGGGCATATCGCGGCCAGCGGATGTTATGTCGTGCAGCCTCTCCCTTTGTGCAGATGGAAGCTTACCACGGCGGTTGCTCCCATCTCGATTGCAGTAATGCAGCACTCTGAGTCACCTTGGGCAAAGTGAGCGTCGCCGCAGGAATACAGAGCGCCGGGCACATTTACCGGAATCAGCAATCTCGACCCTTTGGTAAGTTGCTTGGCGTCCACGTTGCCGCAGTTCTCTCGTGGCGGCAGGGTCCGCAGTCCCTCGGCGGCGATGGCACCTCCGGCAGGCACGGCATCCTCCGGGTCGGGGGGCGCCGCCGTTCCGCCGCGCCGCACGAGGTCCGCCTCCCTCCGAGCCCACGAATCCATCTGTTCCCTTGAAGGTGCGATACCGGCAGTTCCCATGAACGAGCCGTTGGGGATTCTCACCCCCGGCAGTTGCTCGGACGTGGCCCAGCCTTCGCTTATGTTCCAATTGACGAAATACGGCTCCTGGAACAGATCGCGCAAAAATCCTGCACCGGGTCGGTTCCTGGTCCATCCGTAATGTTGAGGGATTATGTCAACGTATTCGATCTCCAGCAGGTCCCCGGGTTCTGCGCCGTTGATGTAGACAGGGCCGGTGAGGGGATGTGCAACCTTGGCATCAAAGCGGTCGAAGTCGGCCGTGGTAACCGCCGGGTGCATCTGACCGTCGGAGGCGTCCCGTGTTTCCAAGAGTACCTCCTCACCGGGGTTAGCCTCAAGGATGGGAGAAATGTCCGGATGCCATCGGTTATGGCCCTTCTCCGGCTCTTCCTTCAGCCGCTTGGTGCGGTCAATCTCAACGCTTTTCATTCGCTGATATCCTCCAGGACTCGCAGGTATTCCCCCATCAGTGCCGGGGTGCCTACCTGTATCGCATTGTCAATTTGCCGGGCGGGTAGATGCTGGCAGCGTTTGCCGCGAACTTGTATTCCCCGTGCTCGAGGGTGGTAGTTGATCAGAATGTGCACGTCTCGGCTGCAGTGCCGGCGATCATGATCTCCCGCCAGATTCCGACCGGTCCGCAGACATCCTGAATCACAAATACAGGGGTATCTCTCCAATCGGGCACGCCACTATTGCAGACTGTCTACCCCAATAAACCTGCGCCTCTTCTTTGGCGCGACTATCGGCCGAAACCTACAGCGTCCAGTCCTCGGGCGTCTCCGGCGTCGGCATGGGGCGGATTGTGACTTCCACCAGAGCGGCCTGGCCGTTCTCGGTGGCAGCAATGGCGCGGCGGAAGGCGTCCTGCAGCTCTGCCGGGTCTTCAACTCGCTCGGAGTAAGCGCCAAGGCCCTGAGCGACCATGGAGAAATTACCGCCCAACTCGGCCATTGGAGGCGGCGCGGCATTCTCGCGGGCCATGGCCATCAGCCCTCCGCCAGTGCCGCCATTGTTCAGCACCACAGTTAGCGTCGGAAGCTTCATCCGGACGGCGGTTTCCAGTTCCATGCCAACCATGCCGAAAGAGGCGTCTCCCAGCACGTTGAACACCAGATGGTCGGGGCGGCCCAGTTTCACGCCGATGGCCGCGGCCATTGACCAGCCCATGGCCGCCATGCCGCCCATGCCGATGTAGTTGCGCGGCTTGGTCGCAGGCCAGAATGGCGACAGATAGCCGCGGCTTCCGCCAGCATCGTGCAGGGCGATGGTGCGGTCGAGGTCGACTACTTCATTAGTTCCTGAACCACGCGGTACCCGTTGGTGGGAGACGATTCGTCGTTGAGGGTAGGTTCCCACTCGGCGTGCCACTTGGCTTTTGCCTCGCGAATCTCGGCAACGATCTCCTCGCGCCGCGCCGCAGACGGTGGTCCGCCCGGTCCCATCCGGTCCCGGACGGCGTCGATGAGGCTGCGAAGGGCCAGCTTGGCGTCGGCCAGGATGGGCACATCTGCCTGGTAGATCTTATTGAGATCGCTGAGTCGGCGTTTATGTGAATCAGGCTCACGCCCTCTGGGATGGGTCGTCCGTCGGTGGCGTTGGGCAGGCGGAAGGAGTTGCCCACGGCCAGAACGGCGTCTGCTCTCCGGTTGACAATGTGAGCTGCCCCGGAGGCGTACCTGCTTCGCGGGTAAACGCCGCCCCCCACGGACAGCGGATGGTTTTCGGGGAACGCACCCTTACCCACCAGGGTGCTGGCGACGGGCATGGCCATCAGCTCGGCCAACTCAAGGGCCTCGTCCCAGGCCTCCGCGGCCAGCACGCCCCCGCCAACATTCATAATCGGGAAGTTGGCGTTCAGCAGAATCTCCGCGGCGCGCTCGATGTCCGCTGCGTCGGGGGCGGCCCGGCGGCCCGGCCCTACCGGCTCGTAGTTCAGTACCTCGTCCGGGGCCTCCATCATCAACACGTCCTGCGGCATTTCCAGGACCACCGGTCCTGGTGAGGCAGAACGCAGGTTGGTAAAGGCTCGGCGCATGATGGCGGGTATGTCCTCTACCCGCGACATAGTGCCCTTCCACTTGACGAAACTGTCGAAGATGCTGGAGGGAACCTCCTGCTGAATTTCGCGCCCCATGCTTCCCAATGGATGCTGTCCCATTAGCAGGAGCACGGGGATATTGTCGGCATACGCTCCGGCGATACCGGTAAGCGTGTTGGTGGCTCCCGGTCCGGTCCCGGTCAGCGCCACACCCACCTGGCCGGTGGCCCTGGCATAACCGTCTGCAATCTCCACACCCATGCGCTCGTGGCGGGCGGAAAATATCTGAATTTGCTGAGAGGCCCGTAGCGCAGGCCACAGCGGGGCCTCACCCCGCCGGCAAATCCGGAGATGTATCGAACTCCTTCCTTCTCTAATGCGTGAATAACTGCGTCGCCGCCTCTCATTACTGCTCTCCCACTCTGGCGATTGTGCGGAACCGGCAGTTCGTGGTGCCGTGTGCACTGCCGGTGCCCGGTGAACCCAGAATGCGCCGATGATACGCCCGCCCCTGTTGGCGGTCAAGGACGGCGCGCGGCTAGGCCGCGCTTCTTGCGTTTGTTGACCGCCTATTCAGGCACAGCTATCATCCCATCGCGGACTTGGGCGTAGTGAGCGCATCCTTCCCTTCCTTCTTATAATAAAGAGACTTTACAAGGCAAACGGCGGAACATCAGGAGGCAGCATGCCTACAGCCAGTGAGATGATCGTCCAGACCCTGGAGGAAGCCGGGGTAGAGTATGTTTTTGGCATACCCGGTGGCGGCACTGGGCAGATTTTCCAGTTGCTTTACGGACGGGAGGACCGGATCAAGACCGTCCTGGTAAGGCACGAACAAGTCGCAGCAATCATGGCCGACGCGTATGGCCGGGCCACCGGCAAGCCGGCAGTGGTCATGGGGCAAGGGCTGTTCATCGGCTCCAATGCCTCATTCGGGATCATGGAGGCAATGCTCAGCAGTTCACCCATGCTCGTGCTCACCGACACCTCAGACGGCGGGGCAGCCCAACGGCCGGCCAACCAGTCAGGTACGGGAGAATACGGCAGCATCGACCTGCCCAACATATTCAAATCCATGAGCAAGTACACCGCTCTGGCCGCCAGCCCCAAGGAGGCGGTTCTTGCCACCCAGATGGCCATCAAGCATGCGGTCAGCGGTCGGCCCGGCCCTTCGTCTGTGGTAATGCGATCGGCAGCAATCGGTGGCGAGGTGGACCTGGAGGCGGCGCCCTTCATTCACAACGCCGCCGGCTTCCTGAATACCGTCAAGCCCCAGAGCGCGCCGTCCGATGTTCAGCGCGTGATCGATATGCTGTCAGGGTCACGGCGCCCTGTCCTGGTCGCCGGAAACGGCGTGCACGTCGCCCGGGCACATTCACAGTTGCAGGAGCTGGCAGAGATCTGGGGTATGCCAGTTGCAACCTCTTATAAAGGGAAGAGCGCCATCGCGGAGACACATCCACTCTCAGTGGGGATGGTCGGCACCTACGGACAGGCCGTCGCCAACCGGGTGGTAGGGGAGGCAGACACGGTCATTGTAGTGGGTGCGTTGCTGAGATCCCAGGAGACCGTCCGCGAGCGGCCCGACATCTTTGACCCACGGCGCCAGAGGGTGGTGCAGATTGACATCGACGAGCGCAATGCCGGCTGGAGCTTCCCGGTTGAGATCGGCCTCGTCGGCGACGCTGGCAGCATCCTGGACCAGCTGGTTGCGGCCTCAAAGGAGGCTGCTCAAGCCAATGCTGCCCAGCGCACAGAATGGACAAACTCTGTGTCCACTCGTAAATCTGCGATGTCCTTTTACGACGACCCGGAGATGCACAGAGAATCATCGCCGGTTACCCCGCAGAGGCTGGTCTCGATTCTCAACGAGACCTCCGACCCCTCGACGGTGTACGCTCTGGATGCAGGGAACAATCGCACCTGGATGGCCCACCTGTACAAAGCCCAGCAGGCCGGTACCTTCTACTGCCCGGGCGGCACGGCCGGAATGGGTTGGGCGCTCCCGGCAGCCGTGGCCCTCAAGCTCGTCTACCACCCCCGACAGGCGGGAGAACGGAGGCTAGACTAGGACCGGTTTCGGACAGGCGACGGCGGATACATGATGACGGTCAACGCCCTCTCGACGGCGATGCAGTACGATCTGCCCATGACCTGCGTCGTGTTCAACGACAACGCGCTGGGCATGGTGCTGGACCACCAGCCCCGGGGACAGGAAATCGCCTCGGAGTTCTATCCGACCGACAACGCGGCCATAGCCCGGGGATTCGGGGCCTTTGGTGTCCACGTCGTCGAGACGACCACGCGATCTGCCCGACGCGCTGCGGGAGGCGCAGGCGTCGGGACTGCTGCCGGTAAGTGTGTGACGTTGCCATCGACACCGCGACCACGCACCCGACGAATGCGTGCGATGCCGCGCGCTCCGCGAGACGTAGGCGAAGGAGGAGGCTTGACGGCGACTGGAACCAAGCTTACGTACGAGGAGTAACTCAACGAGCTGTAAACGTTTTCGCGCTTCGCATCGTGGATGGTGAGGTGATTATCTCCGCCGTCCCCAACGTCTTCCATCAGCGCACGTCCAGGCGTATTTTCAGACCTCTTGATCGATTGGTGGCGGAACAAGATATCGGCTGGATTCACTTATATTCCAGGACGCGTAGGACTCATCGCACCCATCCTGGCTCAGCAACAAGGAGGTTCAGTGTATGGCAGGACTGCTTGAAGGCAGAATATCTCTGGTCACCGGGGCGGGTTGGGGTATCGGCCGGGCGACCTCGTTGGTCATGGCGCGGGAGGGAGCGACCGTCGTGGTCTCCGATCTCAACGCCGACGGTGGCGAGGAAACACTGAGCGCCATCAAGGAGGCCGGCGGGGATGGCATTTTCGTCCACGCCGACGTATCGCGCCCAGACGACGTGGCGGCGTTAGTCGGCCAGGTGGTCGCGGCCTATGGCAGGCTGGACTGCGCCTACAACAACGCCGGCATAGAAGGATACATGGCGGGCCGTCTGCACGAGTACCCGGAAGAGGAATGGGACCGGCTGATCGATGTCAACGTAAAGGGCGTGTGGCTCTGCCTCAAGCACGAGATACCACAGATGATGCAGCAGGGCGGCGGTGCCATCGTGAACACCGCATCGGCTGCGGGGTTGGTCGGTTCGCGGCGCCTGTCTGCGTACGTCGCCAGCAAGCACGCGGTGGTTGGGCTCACCAAGGCTGCTGCCCTCGAATATGCCCAGGACGGCATACGAGTGAACGCCGTGTGTCCTGGCATCATCGACACGCCAATGGTGCGCCGCCTCATTGGAGGACGAGACGCCGAGTACGAGAACTCAATTCCTGCTAGGCAGCCCATCGGGCGACTGGGTACGCCCGAGGAGATTGCAGAGTCCGTTGCGTGGCTGTGCTCCGACGCCGCTTCGCTGGTCACCGGCCTTGCCATGGCCGTGGACGGTGGGTTCACCGCGCAATAGAGACTAGCCGGACTCAGCTGCTGACAGTGCAATCGCGTCTCTACTGTCCTACAGCACTCTCGCCGAGTTGCGGCGAAGCCTTTTCACGGGAACGCGAAAGCCATACCGCCACTGACAGTCCGTTGGACTGCCTGTTCGGGCAATGATAGTATAGGGCCGGTTCGCCTTTGTGCACTGGCCCTTCCTTATATAAGGGACAACATTCAAATTAGTGGAAACTTTCGAGCCTCATTCCTTCAGTAATTAATTCAATCGACTGCGCTATGCCCGGAGGACAGCTTGCCCGATATATTGGAAATTATTGACCTGCCCGACAGCGGACAACTGCAACTCTCTTTACTGGGCGATGATGGCAGTCGCCTGAGTGCGCCACCTGTCTCCTTCCCCTACCCGCTGACCGATGCAGAGTTGGCGGAGATGGTCTGGCCATATTCCCTGAGAATATATCATTCCAGCCCTTTGGCAGAGTCTCGAGCGAGGCGATGCGGGTGAGGCTAGCATGGTCTCGCGCGACCTGGGACGCCTGGTGCTGGAAGCAGTATTTCGTTCCAACGCAGAGGCTGAGGGGATATGGTCCCGGATCAGTTCAATTGATGCACAGGCCTTCCGGCTGTCCATAGTCTCCCCACGCCCTGAACTCCTGGCCCTTCCCTGGGAGTTGCTCAACAGCCCGGACGCCGGGTACCTGGCCGCTCGCGCTGAGGCATTGACGCGTCAGGTGAGTTCTCTTGATCAGCTTCCTTCATTCTCCACTGCTGGGCTTCCCGACACCCAATTCAATGTACTCATGTTATGTCCACCCAGCAGTCAGGGCATTGCCTCCGAGGCTCTGGAGGCCATGGAATCGCTGGACGTTGAGGTGTCCCTGGAATGTCTGAAGCCCCAGACTGTTGGTGAACTGGAAGCTCACCTGGCAGACCGGGCGGGGCATTACCACCTGTTGCATCTAGACGGAATTGCCACCGACAACGAGGGCTCCCACCTCTTGGGGACCGCATCCCTGGAGCGAATAGGGAAAGCCGCAGCGAGCTCAGGTATTCCCGTCGTGCTGCTTAGCTGCGCCACTCCCTGCTATCCTCCCGTCGCAGCCGAGGTCTTGCTGAAGAGCGGCGTGCCTGAGTTGGCAGTGTTGCCGGTACCCCTGGGAGGGTCGGGCCGGAAGCTCTTCGCAGACGCATTCTACTCCGCCATAGCCCACGGAGAAGGTGCCGCCTCCGCTGTCGCGCATGCCCGTCGCGCCCTGATGCTGAACCCTTACCGCCCCTCCGCCGCCGGACCGGTGGTTTCGTGGGACTGGATCACACCACTGTCTTACCAGTCGGCCCGTTATGAGCCAGTGGCGATAAAGCCCGAATATAACAGAGGAAGACGTCTCTCCGGGCATGCGATGCCCGCCAACGCTGCGGACAGAACCCACGCCAGCCGATCAGCTGCCCCGAGGTGGACCATACGGCCTGATTGGCCGCCGCCGCGAGGTCCTGGAACTGGATACTACTGCCTCGCGACCAACCCTGTCGTTACTTTATGAACTGCCCGTTGGAGTTCGGAAAATTACCGAAGAAGTCGCTTGGGGCTTTCGTCCGCTGGTCTGTCCCGGCTCGAGAAGAGCGGTGACCGGCACGATGGTGTTTTTTATACCATCTTTGACGTAGGAGCAGGGTTGGACAAGGCCTTGCACGAGGTGGGGACCGCCCTGGCCGGTCTGGAATTCGGAGATCTCCCGGCCTTGGCCCGCCGCAACTGGCTCCTCGAGTACCTGCGAGGGCACCGGACCCTTCTGGTGTGGGATGCAGTCGAGATACCCGCTGGTTCCCTATCAGGAACCGGCTGCTTGAGTCAGCGATGGCTGAACTGGAGCGAAGTTCTGGCGCGAGTTGTCCGCAGACGGCGGACAGACCGAGGTGCTGCTGATCAGCCGCCGGGACACCGAACCGTGGATATCGGCCTCCCACGGGAGCTACACGCTGAAGGGTCTTACCGGCAACGAAAGAATCGAGTTCGCCACGCGCCTGATCGAAGAGACCGGCATCGACCCCGCCCGTCTGGGTCCGGAGTTCCTTGAACTACTGGAACTGCTGGATGGCCCCCCCGCTGGGCAATGGAGAACTGGTAAAATGTCGATGTCTACTCTGACTCAAGGATGTTTGCCAGCCCGTACTTCTCACCGACTGCGGGCCGCCTGAGATAGCAGATGCCTACCAACTCACCCGGCCCCTGAGATGGATGGTCGCCACCCTACATACATCTGAGACGGCAGGATGGAACACGCATATTGTCGGGCTCAGATATGCCGTCGTACTCGCATCGTACCATCTACGCCGTCCTGTCGCTATTCCGCAACCGCGTTATGATGGACATTCTGACCCACATCACTCAAGAAAATGCCTACCGGTCGGTGATGGGCGAACAACTTGGTTGGGGAGCCTGCCGCACCCTGCTCCGGTCGGCCCGGATTGCCGCTTCCTGGAACCAATCACGCCCAGCGTCTACCAGATTCACCCGTCAATGGGCTGGTTCTACGGCCGTGCTCTTTACCGGCAGCTTCCCTCCGACGCGTCGCCGAGCCTCGCGAAGGACATTCGTGCTGAGTGTGAACGCCGACACGACTACTTCATGAGAGATCCCTGTACTAGACCAGGACTCAGGGATCCATGCATCCTGGCCGAAGAGGGCAACCTGACGCAGGCCCTCGGCCTGGCAATGGAGTCCCAGGAGTGGGACAACGCCCAGCTTCTCACCCAGCCTCTGGCCCAGGTATACCGGATGCAAAAGCGGTATCCGGAACTGCGCCGTCTGCGCCGTCAGTTGCTGGACGCCGCCGGAACCACGGCCGACGAGGCGCAGGCCAACGACGCCACCGAGCTCTGGCTCTACCTGCTGGGGACCGAGGCCTCGGAGTGCATCGAAACCAACGAGCTTGGCCGGGCAGACGCCCTCAACCAGCAGTTGCTGGAGTACTTCGCCTCCCAGCCCGGAGCAGAGAGTGATCCGAGGGCCGCAGCCGTTTACCACCAGATGGGTGAGGTCGCCCTGCGGCGCTGGCAGCTGGATGAGGCCGAGGATTGGTACACCAAGTCGCTTACCATTATTGAAGATATCGAAGATGGCGAAGACCGCGCACCGGTTGCCGACGACTACTATGGCATGGGGCTCGTCCGCCAGTACCAGAGGCGGTACACCGAGGCACGTGAACTGGTTCTCCAAGTCACTGGACATCCACCAAAGGCTTGAAGACGTGGAGGAGATGGTCAAGGACTACCGCTCCCTTGGGCTGTGCGCCCAGTTTCGCTTTGAATACCAGGAGGCGAAGCTGGTTCCGAAGAGCCACCTATATGCAACCGGCCCTGCGAGATCCTCGATGGTGAGCGGCGCGCGACGAAGAAACCATCTGTGTCTCAGTTATCACAGCACGCTGTGGGCACGGTGGCTCACACGCCACCATACCAGTTCGATGACTGCGCCGAAACCTGTACAGCAGGCCAACTGCACCGCAGCTGACCGGATGGGCACGACAAGCCCAGATGGCAGTGGAATTCCACTACCCATCGGCTGCGTCGAACATCAGTTCGAGGAGTCAGATGTTCCCAGAGGACGCGGAACGTTGGTACACCCTGGCTCTCGAAAAATACGAAAAACTGGGCGACTGGCGCAACGCCGGCGACGAATGCCGCCAATTGGGCGTCTTGTTCCACGAGCAGAAGAAGCTGGACGAGGCCGAAAGCTGGTATCACCGGCCCGCTGACATTTCGAGAGAAATCCAGACGCTACAGCGCACCGCGCGAACTTATGGGCAGCTGGGCATGGCAGCCGAGGAGCGAGAAGACATCGAAGGCGCTCTGATCTGGGCTGCCCGCACGTACAATCTGGCCGCCGACCACTACCTGCCCGTAATCGCGCAGGCCCGCGTCCATCTCGCTAGGCTGCGCGACAACCAAGGCTCCGACGCCTTCGCCGAGTGGTGGCGCAATTTTACCGGCGAGGAACCTCCGGCAGACATCGACGCGGAGGAAGAGGTGATTCTGTGACCGGGATGCTCGCCAGAAACCAGCTCACTGGAACATGTTTTTGTCCCGTTCGCTCTGGAGATGGTTCGCTGCTGCCGCCTGTCCATGCCGAACAGAATGCGAACTTTTAGGACTGGATGCCACTCTATGGAACACCGAAAGTTACCAATGACCGGGATGACGGTATCATGCGTCTGCAAAACGGCAAGGCTGCCGCTGCATTCCATTCCATGGCAATGAACCTGACTGAAGGCGGCAAAGATGAAGGCCTGCCCGTATACGTGGAGATGACTTGGGCCGCTGAATCGCTACTGCCCTACCCGCTATCCGCACCCGAAGATGTAATTGCTTACACCACCAGGAGGTAGAACTTATGAGCGTTGGAGTTTCCACACCATTGCCGGCTTACACCGTAGACCCGGCTTTCATGGCTAAGAAAGCGGAGGAGTTGGGCTTTGAGTCAATCTGGTACGCAGAGCATCCTGCTGTGCCGGTCGATAGCAATAGCCCATTCCCGCCACCGGTGGAGAGATCCCCTGGACCTACTCCCATTTTACCGACCCCTACATAGCCCTGGCTCGCGCCTCCGGGGCGACCAGCACTATCAAGCTGGGCACCGGCATCACCCTGGTTCCAGAGCGCAATCCGTTGTTGCTGGCCAAGGAAATCGCCACCCTCGACCGGTTCAGTGGCGGCCGCTTCCTATTTGGCATCGGCACCGGGTGGCTGCGGGAGGAGACAGAGATCTTCGGCGGCGACTTCGAGCACCGCTGGACGCAGACGCGTGAGGCTGCTGAGGTTAGAAGAGCTCTGGACCAAGGACGAGGCTGAATACCACGGTAAGTATTACAACTTCCCGAGGAGCTACCCGAAAGTCGCTAATCCAAGCGGCACAGCACCGCAACCACGCCCATCAGCATCGGCTGGTAAAATGCCCGCAATGTGTTGCGCCGCATCGTGTCTCACGGCGACGGTTGGCTTCCCAACCGCGTTACG